CCCCCCACGACCAGCCGTGGCCCGGCTCGCCAGCACCCGCCCGCCGCTGCCTCCACACACACGCCCCACGCACGCCCACCCCGCCACCCCCCGTGCCGCCCACCCTGCCGCCGCCGCCCGCAGCTGCTGGGCTTTGCGCGGGCCACCAGCGACGGCGCGCTGTCTGCCGTCATCTGGGACGTCTCGGTGGCCCCCGCCTGGCAGCGCGGCGGGCTGGGCCGCGCGCTCGTGGAGCGCCTCACCTCCTCCCTCGTGCACGACGGCATCGCCACCATCACGCTGTACGCGGAGCCCGGGGTGGTGGCCCTGTACGAGAAGCTGGGGTACGTGAGCGATCCGGAAGGCATCCGCGGCGTGGCCTTCCAGACCAAGTCCGCCTTTGGGCGCAGCATGGCGGCCGCGCTGCGCCGGTAGCGTGGCGTAGCATGGCGGCCGGCCTTCTGCAGACCCCCCGGCTGCACCCCTCGGCCTCGCGCTCTTCCAGCCCCTCTCTCGCCGCGCCCGCACTGCCGCTGCCTCCCTCCCAACACTCGCCACTCGCCGCTGCTGCTGTCTTCCTCGCTTCCGCCTCTTGCCCGCTGCCCCGCCGTCCACACCGGCACGTGTACACTACAGCCCTCTCCGATTCAACCAACCCTGGCAGAATAGCGTACCCTCGGGCCCACCCCCTTTTCCAGCTGCCGCCGGGCCCCCAGCGCCCGCGGCCGGCTGCCCGTCGCCGCCCCACTCCTGTACCCCTTTCTTTTTACCCCTCACTTCGGTGCACGCCCCTTCTCGTCTTCAGCCTGCAATTGCTTTCATTTCCAAGGATGCATGTCCTGTATTGACCGACACGTCACGTCTGCGCCACAGCCCGCCCTGCACAGCAACCCCCCAGCTCGGGCGCCCGCTGCACCCCCCCAGGGCATTTTTGTTGTGGTTGCCTCATTTGTCTGCACTATCGTCCGCCTAGAATGTTGCCGGTACCATACTGCTGTTCAACACCTGCCACCACGCCTGCCTGGCCGCCAGCGGGAGTAGGGGCAGCTCTTGGTGCCCGCGACAGCGATGCTGTGAGGTGGCGGCGGCGGCTCTCGTGTGGCGCCACGCAGGGCAGCTGGGCCGTCCTCCCGGAGGTTCCTCCTAGGCCCCGTTGGGCTGTCGTTTGCTGGACTGCCAGTGTGGGTGGTTGAGGTCTTGAGCAGCAAGCAGTGGGTGGTGTGCTGTAGCAGCTGCCAAATCCACAACACAAACCGCTGCATCGCCGCTTGCTTTCAGGCTGGCGGCAGATGCTTCTGACCTCTGCCCCAGCGCGTCTGTCCATGGTCTGAGTTGCCTTGAAGTCGGGTGCCAATCGCCGACCATGCGAGGGGCAGCGAGCGCAGCTGCCTGCGGGGGGGCGCCTCCTCCTCTCCCAATGCGACCAGCCGCCGCTACCATTCTAAAGGCCTTTTCAGGGCCAAGAGCCACATTGGTGTGCTGCCTGGATCGATCATGCCAGCGCACACAGCCCATGCAGCTCGAGCCTTGGCCCCTCCCCTACCCCACCCCCCTGCCAGACACCTACCCCTTCAGAAGCAGACCGGCTGCGCATGACGCCAGTCGGCCAAGCCCGGGGGGCTCCAGAGGCCACATTGTCACATGGGCGGCCGGTGCCGTGGCTTGAAGGGGATTGGAGAAATGAATGGAGCAAAAAATAAGTAACAGTGGGGCATCGGCATGGCGCGGAAGCCGAACCGAGGAAACGGGCCAGACATGCGGGGGCTGACAACACTGGCGCTGCGCTCGGGCGGGGCGAGGGCCGCCACATAACGACACACTGTCCGTCCATGGCTTCGGCATGCGTTTGATGACATTTGTAATCCAAAACGTGGCGCAGGGCTGCCAGCCACTGGCGTTGAAAGAAGAAGGATCTGTCTGCCGCCGGAGGCTGGCAGGTCACCCCCGGGCGGCGATGTAGGAGGGGCCTGCGGGAACGGGGTGTGTGGCACACGCACAGCCATGCTCAACATGACATGGCGGTCGGTGGGGTGGGCAGTGAACCAGCGGCTGTGCTCATGGGCCCGGGGTGGGGTGGCCAGTTGTCCCAGCGGGCATTGCTCACCAAACAGTCCCAGGACTGGCTTCGGAAGGATCTGGGTCCTGAAGACGGTCACCCTGACGTTGAGCCACTTGCCAAACCGCTGCTGGTCCGCGGCCTGCGCTCGGCGGCGTGGCAGGTGGCGCAGCGCGGCCAAGCGGGTCGGCTGGTTGCAGAAAAGGATGCGAGGCTGAGGGGCGGCAGCCGTGGCAGCAGGCCTCCCCGGCCCACCCGAGGACCGGAACAGACCAGTCGGAAACAACGTAGCTGGGCAGCTGTCGAGCGCGGGCAGGCGGCACAGGGCAGGTGGCTGGCTGCGGCTTGGGGGGGGGGCACAGCCACACACCGAGGTCTTGGAGGCCACATTCATGCTGATGCGCATCTTGGGGGTGAGGATCGCCATCCGTGCGGAGCGCCCCTTGGCGGCGGGGAACGTCTGCACCAGCAGGGCGGCGGCCAGGCAGCGCAGGGGGCAAGCCGGCTGGCGGTCGCGCACGGCGGCAACGGGTGCTCAGGGCGAGGGCGCGGCTCGGCGCGGCCTGCCAGTATATGGCCTCACCCTGACGACCTCCCCGCCGCCCATGGGGGCAGCGTCTGCAGGCTTGAGCACCCGCCCGTTGACCGTCACTGCACGGCACAGGCAGGGGGGGCGGGCGAGGCGTTCGAGCTCAAAGTCGCTGCAGGCCGGCGTGGGCAGCCACGCGGGGCGGCGGCGGCCGGGGCTGGCCAGCCGCGGGCGCCCAGGCCGGCCCGCCAACAGGGCCCGGCACGCCTCCACAGCGTCCAGCCTCCGGAAGCCCCTCTCAGGCTCCTCTGCGCAGCCAGCAAACCCCCACTCACCCCCCCACACGCAGCCGCCCGCCGCCGCCTCCACCTCCCCACCCACCCCGCCCGTCCGCCCCCACCCACCCTTCAGCTTCCAGCCGGTGCCGGCGGTGGCGTTGGGCGGCAGCAGGGCGGCGGTGGCGCGGTCCACGGCGGTGCTGGCAAACAGCGCGGCGCGCACGTAGCGGCGCTTGGGGTCGGCCAGGCCGGCGCGGAAGTGCACCGCCAGCTGTGTGTTGAGGCCAGAGGTGAGCAGGCGGGTGTCGGCGGTGAGGGAGGGGCTGCTCAGGGTGTCCCACACGCCTGCAGGGGAGGCCGAGGGGTGGGGTGCGGGCAGGTGGTGGGGGTGTGGCGGGAGGGGAAAGGGGGAGGAGCTCCACGGTTTCCCGGGCACCAGGCTGCCCAGGAGAGCAGGCGGGCGCGCAGTAGCCCTGTGTGCGGCAGCGCTGGCAGCGCAGGGGTCCCAGGGCTGTGCTGTGCTGTGTCGTGCTGTGCTGTGCTGTGCTGCGCTGCGTCGTGCTGTGCTGTGTTGGGCTGCGCTGGGCGCACGGCGCCTGCCTGCCCACCTGTGAAGCCGCGCCACAGCGCTGCGTCCCTCATCACAGCCTCGATCTGGGGGCGGGGCCGTGGCGGCGGCGGCGACCTGGTCAGGCCTCCCAGGGGCGGCCTGCAGGCGGGGCGGGGTGGGGGCCGAGGCGAAGGCAGCTTTTATGGGGCAAGGCAATGGGCAGGGCTGGAGGTGGTGGGGCGGGGAGGGCACGGCGGGCGTAAGAGTGCAGTGCACACACACAGCGGGGCGTGAGCGAGTCGGGTGGTTGGGCTGTGCCGGGGGTGCCTGGCATAAGCATGGCCTGCCCGCCACCCTACCGTGGGGGGGAGGGCTTGGGACTTGGCGGCGGCGGGGAGCACTTCTTCTGGCCCTTGGCGCCGCAGGTGGAGAGAACGGTTTTCGGGGGCGGCGGCCGTGGGGAGGGCGGTGGGGGCGGGCGTGGGGGCGGGGGGTTGGGAGACGGGGGCTTGGGCGAGGGAGCAGGGCTGGGGGGCGGCGGCGAGGGGGAGGGGGGTCTGGGACTGGGCGGCAGCGGGCGAGGGGGGAGGGCTGGGTGGAGGACGTTTTTGGCGGGCTGGGTGGAGGAGGGGGGTGGCGGAAGGGTCGAGGGTCGGCGGGTGGGAGGGCTGGGAGGGCTGCTTGCGGGCGCCGCCACCATGTTTTGCGTGTTCAGCGGACGCATCAGGCCGCTGCAGGCAGCAGCAACGTGCGGCCAGGCATGGCGGGAGGGTTGCTGGTTAGCCGCCCTACTCACCCACAAAAGACCAAGAATCCGCCCACCCCAAACGCTCATCCATCCATCCACCACCCGCCCCGCGCCACCCACCCGCCCCACCCGCCGCTCGCCTGTACATGGAGCAGGCCCCCGCCTGCGTCATCTGCACCCGGATGTGTCCCGCCTCTCCCCAGTCGCCCCTGCACCGCTCGGAACAGGCAGCCGTGAGCGGGGGGCAGCCGTGGGCGGCGGCAGGGCAGGCAGGGGATGGGTGCTTTAGCCCCATCCCGGTGCCGGCTGCACACCCACCACTGGTTGCGCACGATCCAGTAGCTCTCGTTGGAGCCCACCCCCTTGGTAGCGTTGTACCCCACGATCACCTGCAGCGCCAGCAGGGCAGGGCAGGGCAGTTTGCAGGCGTTTGCAGGCCGGCAGCCCCGCCGCCATCCCGCTGTCGACAGCGCTCGTGGCACACACCTCATGGTAGCGCGGCGCGGTTCCAAGGTGGCATGCGGAGGCACAGGCAGCCCAACAAGCCCACCATGACGTGGTTGTACCAGCCAGGAACGCACTCGGAGGCCTGGTAGATGCCTGCACAAGGGCGGGCC